TTAAGTTCTAATAGTTTGGATCTGAGCTATAGTTGCTTCCAGAATTTGTGTCCTTTCTATTTTTCCCATGGTGCCTTTGATAGACCCACTCCTCACGTATCGCCGAAGTCCAGGTCATTATGTGAAAATTGGCATTATGCAAAAATAGAGGATGACTACATCACATCACAAAATGGAGGATGACTACATCATTACATAACTGCCAAACCACCGAGAATCATGGCTCAGCCAAGTTGACACATATCCTTAGCCTTCACAGCCAGTGTTACTCTCGCCTCACAGCTAGGTGTTCATCACTGCCAGATGTACGGCATTAACGTGCAAAATAGTCAGACAGGTTTTTTACTACTGTCGTAAATGTGAATGTATAACAAGATAGTCCAGTAAGTGAGGAGTAGCTATAGTAGGTTTAGTAGCTCAGTCATTAGCTAATACTGCTTACAAAGAAAATTTATGTATTGAAAAATACAAGTACCTCTGTAACTGAAAAATATTTTTTTCCTTTTCTGAAGTTTTTTCAAGATTTACGCTTCTTCATTAGGTGTGGTGATGAACATTTTTGTAGAATCCTAAAAGAGCTTGAGTTTTTAAAACATTTACTTCATTGCTAAATTTATAGTTTTGTTACATACATTTTGATTCCTCAGCTTTTGGGGATTTGTTTTGGCTTGCTGAAAGTAGTTAAGTTTTTCAGTTGACAGAAGTGTGAAAAAGATAAGGACGTTAATAGATGGTGCCAACATAAGTAAATGCTCTCATGCCCAGATTAACATGAGTGTTTAGCCACAACTTCTGTCTACAGTAGAACTGCTGTCATCTTGGAAGAATTTAAGAAGCATCTGATCATTTTGAATGGATGGATTTTAAACAGTTCGTAAACTTCATATGCTGCATAAATTGAAATTATTTGAGACAGAAACATCTCATCCCTTTAAAAAAGGAATTATTTAAGTGAAAATTTTTCAAGTGACATTTAAAATCAGTTGTTGGTAGTAAACAAAAGAATGTTTAATACACTCTCAGCACAGTAGACAATTCAGTATAGGGTGTCCATTTTATTGATGGGGTCGGGTGGGTTGTGTTTGGAGCAGTTCTGCTCTGCACACGTAG